GACGCAGCTTATTTTAATGTTAAATACATTCTTTTTTTCAGCCTGTATTCTGCTTCGTTTCAAAAATCTCTTACAGAGAAGAAGCTGCTGAAGAGCTGAGAGATGCTGGAAAACGCTGCCCGGGAGCTCTCGTCCTGCGGCAGGCAGCAGCATACGAGCCGCAGCCTGCTCTCCCACACTTTAACAGCGAGCGAGCGAGCCGTGGATAGAAACTGGGTGCCCTCGCTGCTCTGCATGTCTCGCACTCCCAGCGGCTCCATGGCAGGAGGCTGAGGACGAGGGTTTCCCAGTGGGTCAAAAACAAACACTACCCCCACGGCCGTGAACAGCAGGATGATCCAGCTGTTGCCACAACGGAAACAAGCGGGGGGGGAAAAGGTTGATCAAAGCAACGTTAACTAATTAACTAGTTGAATAAACCAAAATCCTCACACCTGAACAACCTACCTGGCGACAACTGCCGAGATAACGGCTCCTACCGTGGCAGGATCACAGCCACGGCCATCATCCGACACCCAGACAGCTCCCAGACAGGCCCACACCAGCTCAGGGACATACAGTATCGCCCGCAGGTACACCAGCGCAGGCATAGAGCGCCGCGGGCCGGGGTTTGTAATGGTACCTGACAGAGTAAAAATTAATTTACACTAAAGACACAGAAAGAAATTTCCATAACAGACAGGCAGATCTTTAAATGTGCAACATATAAGTGTTAGTTTGAAAACTTTCAAATCAGTAAAATTGTTTCTGCAAAGAGCCAATCACCAGCCAAACCAGAAAACATTTGAGCCAATCACGTGTTGGACTGATGCATGCTATGGTCTGCGACAGTTTTAACTGTTTTCATCTAAAGTTAGTATTCTAACCAGCTATCCCTTAGCCAACATCTTTTAGAAAACGCAACTTGATGCAACAACAAGTTAGTCCAGCATTCAGTCAGCTCTCCGCCAAACATGATGAAGGAAAAGGCAGGAGAATTAAATCAAAATATTCTTCACAGCTGTCCTTTCTCACATGTAGCACACAGCATGAAAATGTGCGCTTCAGAAGTATCCACACTACTCCAAATTCTCCATTAGATTTAAGTCAAGAAGCTGCCTAAACAGAGCATGCAGGGAGCTCACAGGATGCCCACTCGCTAGCTGCTCTATTCCCACATCATGTGTACTCTGTACTAGGGAGCTAGCCAGTAAAAGACTACTCATATCTGAATGACTGCAGTGATACACTCCTTTGTTGGGCATTTTCTAGAAAAGTGCAAGTGTGGAAAAGACACACTCCTTCTCGAGCACGGTCTAATGCATGGGTTAGGATTTGCCAATTTTCCCCATCAGAAAACTCTTACACAATAAAAAGGAGATGCTCAATATATGTTGCTAAAGAAGCAAACGGGAAATGACTCAATGGCATTGTTCAGTTTAGGGTTCACTTCAGTTGATCTAAAATGCTGCTGCAAGAGTCCTGACAGGGACTAGAATGAGAGCATATTTCTCCAAAACTGGCTTCCTGTTAAATCCAGAACTGAATTTAAAACCCTGCTCCTCACATTCAAGGTCTTGAATAATCAGGCCCCAAATTATCTAAATGACCTTATAGTATCACCCAATTAGAGCTCTTTGCTCTTAGACTGCAGGCTTACTTGTGGTTCCTAGGTTGCTCTGTTACAGTTCAGTCATTTTCAGGTTAAGGTTGTGGCCCTTGTGTGTGCACTAAGGAGGCAGACCTCTAATGAACCCCAACTAATTTACCTTGAGCACTGATGTAGACAATAGCACACAGTGAGAGGATGATGAGTGCCAGCACAACCAGCAGTCCAACCAGGTAGCTATGAAGAACTGCTCTCCCGTTACATTCGAAGTGACCCTTGTGATAAATGAACAACACCATAGTGCCAATCCACCTGGAGAAAGACAACAACAAAGTCAGTTATATTAATGCGCCGAGTTAGGCAGGCTTAGGTTAGCAAAGGTGTTTCAGTATTCACGAGAGTAATCAACATACCAAAGTATACGGATGAACAGTTCAAAGGAGCCCGGGAAGACCAGATCGTCGCTGGCTATCCCCCAGCGCCGACCAAACACCACCATTCCGGGCATTTTGCAGGTAAACAGCGGAGATCTCTCACTGAGGATGGCTTCGCCGCTACACAGTGGCCAGGCTTCTCTTGAGCAACACAAAGTTCACGTCATGCATGACTTCACTGACAAAGCAACAGCCAACCCAGCTGGCAACGATCTTCACCCACTGGTGTCTCATCAAAATTCCAGCGTTGCATAATTATCCCATACGATCTGGACCCCACAATGCTAACTCCACCCTGGCGCGTGTGTCAGCTACACCCGACAAGGCCGACCTGTGACTGTTGTTCTTAGACGTATGCGACCTGCTGGCACTTGGTTTGGCTAGCATTAGACCGTGCAACTAATGCTGTTAATGGGACAGCCTGCAGGATGTTACGCGATTAGCATCTAACCTTAGCTAAAAATACTATCGAGCTATTCCGAGAAACTAAACACAAATACCAATGACAAGGACTATCTACTTAGCTAGTAATGTGTCAGCATATTACTGAGTACGCCATGTCGCCTGATAAATGTTAGGGAAACAAAAAACGGATACATTTAAGTAGGTTTGGGTTTGGTTTGTCAGGAAAATTAGCAGTGTCCGTCCGCATATGTTTTCCGGTGAAACAGGGACAAACTAGAGTTCCGGTTTCTTGTTCACCATACAGACAGAAATATAGCTCTCTTCTGTTGACAGTTTCCAGCTGAAGCACGATTTCATAACACGAGATACTGGAGGGAGTATTGTCGATACCTATACCGATACAGATACGTTTAACTTAAAGGCAGCTTAAAAGCAGCATGACATGACTTATGAACTAAATTATCATCAACCTGTCAAAACACGTTTTTAATGACTGTTCATTATTATTTGAATGCCTGAATAGTTAATAGGTAATCAGTCTTCTAAAGCAACAGCTATCACAAAAATAAAACTTTATCTTTATTATTAGTTAATGTTAAGTGTGACTTATTGAGAGGACCAGTATTTACACAGACATGTCTCCTTTCTGATGTATGTATGTATCTAAATATAGATCCTGTCGCACAGCATCGATCCAATACATATACCAGTGTTGGTATTGATTCTACCACTTCTAGTAATGGCTGCATGGTACAAATGGGCTTCCTTCTTTGATTTCTCAAGAGCATTTTATACAATATAACCGCTCCTACCGAGAGAGAAGCTACGGGAAATGCCAGAAACATTATCCCACCATCTCTTGGATTACTGACTGCCTGACAGATTTTAGATGAGTAAATCATCATTTTGCCACGTTGGCACAGGGGGCGACGAAGATTATGTGTGTGTGTGTAATGTATGGCTTTAATTCAATTCAATTTTATTTACATAGCACCAAATCACAACAACAGTCGCCTCAAGGTGCTTTATATTGTAAGGTAGACCCTACAATAACAGGGTCAATAAATCAATCAATAAACATTCTCCTGTGGACTTTATGGTCTTAGTCTTTAGTTACAGTTCTTATTTAGTTCCTCATGAAGAGTTAAACTGATTATGAAAAAGACTGGGCATGTATTAGAGCATGATGATTTTGTGACTCTTAAATATGAGCATGCAGTGTCCTTCATTCCTAAATCAGAGCCACCAATTAAAATGAGCTAAAATAGATAAATAAAAAAATGTGGGGGAAAAAAGAGCTGGTGATAATCAAGATACACAAGTTGAGGCTTCAAATGCATAATGCGGTTTCCATCTTTATTACACAGTTTATGGTTTTGTTGCTATACTTTTATGTCACTCAAGAGATACCATACTTACATACATATGACTCTCACTGCAGTTTGTTGTTTGTCTACAATATTATTTGCATGCACGTCTTTGGATGTACATTTAGTTTCAGGATATGATGAAACCATCGATGATCAAAAAAAAAAAAAAACTTGACAGCTTACTCTGATCCATGTTCAATGTTTTATTAAAATAGTCCAAATATAACAAATCCTCTTTAAATCTTTCAAGATAAACATTACTTTAAAAAATACCAATTTAATAACTCATCCTCAGATCTCTCAGAATAAATATTAGAGAAGGGGGGCAATCATAAACTGAGGCTTGCCATTAAAGAAATCCAGTTTTTGGCATTCACTGGTGACAAAGTTGTCACCAAATCTCTTTTTTACAGCAGAAGCCATGGAGGACAGCCTCCTCCGGACACCATCACCCTTTCTGTTCATCAAAGGTGGAACCGGTTTTCTGTCGTCCTGGCTGTTTTCATCAGTGTGACGTGGTTTCACATCTCTGAACGGAGCGACCTTGAATGACCTCTTGGAGAAAAGCCTCTTCAACAGGTTGTCAGGTTTCTGTCCAGACGCTGTTAGCCATGTTTTCAGTCCTTCTGCAACAGCTGCTTCAAAGGCAACATCCCCAGAGTCCAGGGCAGCAAGCAGAAGGTATTTGGAGCCAAACTGTGTGCAAAGGTCTTTGTAGATGGGGATGAGCACTTTGTCAAAGGCTTTTGGGTCAGTAAACTGTAAGTCAAGAGGGGTCCTCGCTCTCACACATGCCTCTAATTTACTCAAGTCCACATTGCTTTTTGGTGCGCGGGTCTTTATCTCAATGTGAGCCACCAACTGCTCGATAAACAACTTGAGGAAAAACCTTTCCTCCTCTATCAGCTCCTCTGAAGAAGCCGTGCCACAATTAAAAGGTTGTGGAAGTGTATTTGGACGATCTGAGACGTTTGAGCTCTGTAACGGAGGGCAAATGATGTCTTCCACTTCTGGCTCGATACATCCAGGTAAAGACATCTGCAGCCTAGAATAAACAATTAAAAATGATTAAGAAAACCAAATAAGTATATGCTCATAATTTCAATTTCTGGGTGTACTGATGAGTTTAGACTTGTTTCTTACACATGTGACACATCTCGCAGGCATGGGGTGGTGATTGTTTCACAGTCCAACTGAGCAGGCCCCAGACCTCCAGCTCCATCAGAGGGAATCTAGAAAAGAAAGACAACCACATTTCAGCAAGCAAGAGATCTCGAAAAGCTCTCACTTTTACACTTTTAAATCATCACTTTAAAATCAGCCGCTGCTTCATGCGGC